CCCCCCCCAAGCAAACCCCTAAAAATGAAGAGCATATCTGGTGTTAATGATGGATTGCATGGCAACTGAACTGTTTTGCCACCAACCTGCTATAAAGCTGACCTACAAAACATTGCCAATGGCCGTTTGAGTCGGGGCTGTTAAACCCCCCAAATACTTAAACCAAGTGCTCAAATACAAGCTACGCGCCCAGCAGTACACTAGCATACATTCAAGTGGCTTACACCTGACCTCTAAAGAAGCCCCTGTCACTGACACCTTCCACTCCTATGGGCACCAAAATCCGTTATGTCTCTAAGACTGATTGCATGCATCATGCATCCTGTCATGGAAGCTGGCATTCTAAATTTCTTTTCAGTCCTTTCTGAAAGGCGCGCACGCACACACACACACACACACACACACACACACACACACACACACACACACACACACACACACACACACACACACACACACACACACACACCCTTGATGCCAACACTGTGAAAGCCTACCATCACACCAACATAAAGAGGAAGTATTGTTACATACTGCATCTCACTTAACCCTCTCAACACTTACTTGCAGAGCTAAATATCAGCTATCCGACGCACTTTTCAGGTCCTACGATGGTGCAAGAATGGGCAAGATACGCTGTCACAAAGTGATTGACACTCATTGCACCTCGCGGGGCCTGTAGGAGCAAGTTCTGGACTGTGGCCTGCGAAGGAGGCAGTCCTCTTTGGCCAACGCTCTCCCCCAGACCACCCCTTCATTGCTGCTGGCCAGAACTTGAACTTGGCTCTTAGACTCGCCTCTCAGAGCAGTGGTCCTTGTGCCTGCTTATTCCTGTCTTGGTGTGCAGGTGCGCATGTGGCCTGAATATGCCCCTCTTTCTCTTCTTCTCTGTGGTCTCCCGCTTGCCGCTCTGTCTTGCTTCTCAGGAGCTTTTTCTTCCTCTAGCAGAGGTCCTCTCGAGACATCGCCATGTCCTTGGGCACATGTTACAAAAAAAACTCATTTGCCTAGCCAGGTGGGCGCCATGTGGGGACAACTGGAATCCAGTAACCCTCCAGATCCCTGTTCGTCCTTCCTTTCCTTGACTGATGTGGAGGCTTAGTGCTCCAATTTTGAAAGTGTCTTTTTCCTTAACTGATGCAAGGAGAGCTTCCCAATGCCAATAGCTTTCCCTTTTTATTGTCTGCGTCCCTATATCTCTCGAGGAGACCCATTGGCTTGAAAGAGCCGAGGGTTTCCACCAAGTTTTACAAGGGAACATAACCTACAGCCAGATAGTTTGGTGCTCGGTGTGTTGAAAGAAATCCATAAGTTTGGAGATGAACGATCAGTCTCAATATCTTGGTTACAATGGTTACAATGGGGTTTGTAGCCTTCAGTCATGAAGCTTGGCTGCTCAGCTCTTTTGAACGAAGTACAAAGCAGACAAGAAAAGACAAAACCAACAAAGTACAAAGCACAAAAAGACAAAATCAAGAAGAGACGATAAGTCTCAGTATCTTGGTTTTGGAAAATCTGAAATGCATTTTGAGAACAAGCATCAAGAAAATAGAAAGAGCCTGGATAATCTAACACTACTTTGTGTGCAGAAAAGGCAGCAAAAGATGTGCACTATCACAAAGTAATTAGAACAGAAGGGGCAGGTGGGCCATCCAAATATGCCTTCAAACGGCACAACAGATTTGCCTGGGTTACTAACCCTTCAAAGGTAAAGCAACTTCTGGACCAGGTGACAGAGAGCATAGCGCTCTCCTCGTTCTTTAAGGTTGTCACTGCCTCGTCATGTGTAACATGATAAATGAGCGTCACATTGTTGCCTGCATAATGATTATGAAAACGGGTCATATGGGTCATTCATGGGTCATTCATAGGTCATATCTCGTGCTGCTGGACGTGAAAAAGGGAAAACTAATTAAGGCAGCGCGGACCGTGAGGCCTAGCGTGGCCCAGCATGACCTGCAGATCCTTGAGCAAGCCTTTAATCATTTAATCCCACCTCCCTACCTCTTCAAGCCAGGATCCTGTTCTTGTTCGAGTTAGACACAGCATCAGCCGCACTGGCCACCCCATGCCCCTTTAACCCTAGCAGACCACCCTCTTCACCCTCCCATAAGTACTGCTTTGTATGGGGGTCAGAGCAGAGACGCAACCAGCATGCATTCAGGAAAGACAGTCAGCGCTGACGCTAACAGTGAGTCCCACCCACGAAGGCTAGCTATGTGTCAGCCAAGCTTGTGTGGGTCCGGTAGGTTGTTGACCAGCTGCGCGCTTTGCTCTCCTGCAAGCACCCCACCCTGTAGCCGCCCCCCCCCCCCCCCTTCCCCCCCCCTCTCTCACCCTTCAATGCAAGGCACACACAAACACAGAATTGAGATTGCAAATGCTGAAGACAATTCTCTATTTACTCCCGACACTATCAAGCACTCAGTATTTGGTAAAACAATCAGCAACATGAGGAGGAGAAAGAAATTCCTAATAGTATCCAACGAAATATTCCACATTTGCTATTCCCAATTGGACAGCCAAAAGTAAAAGTAAAAGTCTACGCTGGTACTTACCAGCGTGCATTAAGGAAAGACCCAACAGTTAGCACTGGCAGTAACAGTGAGCCCCACCAAAGAAGGCTAGCTATGAGCAGCCCAGCTAATGAGGGTCCAGCGGGTCGTCGGCCATCCGTTCAGCTGCGCGCCTCGCTTTCCTGTATGCAGCCCTCCCTGTAGCCCCCTCCCCCAAACCCCCATTGCTTATGTTACTGAGTTGGATGGTATTTTTGGTGTTGTGAAATTTTGTTAGGGACTTCACAGCGTGATAGTGGAGTTCTTTGGCAGTTTTGTGAGCTTTGTCTTTTGTTAGGCCAAGTTTGCAAAGAGGATCAATAGTGTAGAGATTGAAGAGAGTTCCAGCAACTCCAAGTAGTATGGTATGTAAAGTGACTCTGTTATTGCGGTGTGTGCCCCGGAGATTTTTTGTGCGTAGGCTGTCAATGGTATGTTTGTGCTCGCCATTTTTAACCAAGATGTTGTCCAGGCATCGACCCTTCATCACTTTGGAAACTGCAATAGAAATTCAACATCTCACGCTAGGGATCTAACCAGACTCAGAACCCGCTGGTCAGGAAATCCTAAACAGGAATAACAAGTCACCTATGCACACCATGTAATATGGTGTGGCCAGCCTACAATGTGTGTAAGCAATTGCACCTCTATGAATCTGGGCCGCCTAACCAAAAGGAAGGCTTAATCGATAGTATTTAAAGCTTGGCTTACCTGGTTATCCAAATCTTGACAACCATTTTTTGTAATTCCTTTTCCCCCCCCGCCATGGGGCTCCAGGAGCAAGGTGGACAGCCCTCCAGATCCCTTTTTGCTCTGGTCCTGACTCTCACCTAGGCTAGCTGTGTCTTGTGTAGGTTTGATGCCCGCAGCAGTGCTGGCTTTCTAGTTAGGAAGCACATCCTTGATGCCCATGCCCATGCCATACGGCTCTCTGCATAAGTTCTACAATTTATTCTCTCCTTTCTGGCCATTAACAGTGCATTTAATTAATTGCTTTGTCCCTGTAAAAGAGGGCTGCGATCATTCGCACAGGGATGGTTCATTGGGATAAACTGCGGTAGGCAGTCCAGAGGACTCCTGGATTTCTTTATTTGACATGTAGATGCAATTACATGCAGAGGGGCATGAGCATAGTGCCCACAGCAAGGTTCAGTTCTGAAACTTCCTGAGGCCTCAGCATCATTCCCAGGTCTACTGGAAAGTCTTGGTATTGGCTGTTGCAGTGCAAAGCAGATGTGGTCCCATGAGAGGTCATCATGAGCAGCTCTTGCAGCAGGTGCGCTGCTCCAAACAACAACATGAGGCGCTTGGAAACCACCTACCCATCTTGAGGGCGGTTCCCTTGAAGGTGTCTGAGGTGCTGTCAATGTGCAGGCAATCAGCACCTGGACATGACACCAGCCGAGGACCCTCCAGTAAGCCCAAGCCTCCTGAGGGACGGTGGAGAACCACAGGCGGCCCTCCCTTTTGCTATTTGGCTCAATCAAGCCAAGTAGCGACTCAAATTACCTAGCCGGGAAGGCCGCATGCGCACAGGTAAGTAAGGGTGGGAGCAGGGTCAGAGTGGTGGATGTTATTAGACTGCGTGCCTAATTGTATATAATCATTTGCGGAAAAACATAAGTTGTCAGGCCGCGGGAGTGTGGTCTAGTGGCATGATTGTCGATTCGGATATTTAGACCGAACGTACACTGTTAATTCGACAGGTCCCGGGTTCGATTCCCGGTACTCCCCCTTAGTTTTGCAGGTTTCATTCGCGGGTCTCATCCATAAACTTTGGCTCACATTTGGCCTGTGATCAGGAAGAGAAGCAATTGCGAAAGGCGATGGGATTTCAGGAGAACAAACCAGGACCCGACAGAATAGGACCGAAATTGAGAGACTCAAGTAAGCAGGCCAATAAGCGTTTGCTTGGTCGCAGGAGCTCCTTTTGTATTTGTTGGATTTGTGGCGGAAACTTTGTGTTCAAGCCTGCTTTTGATAATTTTATTTTATTTTGCAACTGATTAGTATACAAGAAATGGGCTCAATGAGCAATCTCCTTCCGCTATCGTATAGGTGGTTAGTATACGCGGCTCTCAAGCCTGTACATGTGATCCCGCGGGACCAGGGTTCGAGTCCCTGTGGCGGAAGCTTATGGCATTCCTTCCTTCCTCTTTTTCACTTTGGTGGACCGGGGTCCAACGTGACATTCTTGCACAGGACTCAAACAGCGGAGGAGGTCCTTGTAACTTAGGTGGGGGAAAGAATGACTTTTGACTACCGTTGTAAGCGCACTCCACAGAGTTCAAACAAAGAGGTTTTGACCCGTCCAAACGGTATCATCGTGCTTTCAGCTTATAAGACGCGGAATCTCTTTTTGTGACTGGTTTAACACCAAAATTATGAAATCGAACATAAAGGCCTTCTATCCCGTCCGAATGAGTCCATCGGGCTCTCAGGTTGTAAGACGCAGGTTCGCTTTGTGGTCAATTTAACACACAATTAAAGTCTACGCTGGATATAGCCTACGTGGGTCCACACACAGCGTGTCGGCCATCTGTCCAGCTGCGCGCCTCGTTGGTTAGTGCTGATACAGACTCAAAAACAAATCCCATTCATTTCGTTATACTCCATCCCTACCATCCGTTCCATTTGGTGCTCAATTGGACGGCCCGTCACAAACTAATTGCACAACTGTTCATATGCATGGTATGCCTGCTCCTGATGAAATGGAATTACCGGATGCAGCTGCATTACACCCAACTGTCTGTTATTACATGCGAAGGCTAAATCCCAAGACCTCCCCTGGTTTTGGTGCAATAGCTGCCCCTTTTATAAAATACGCTTAAAAGAGAGTCCCCGCAGTGAATGGTAGAGGTACAGGCAGGATCAATGTTTCGGCACCATATGTTGCTCGTTTGTTTGCTGCCATGATGGAGGAGGCTGAGATTTCTGCATGTTGAAAAGCAGCAAAGCTTACTCCCTTACATAAAAGGGATCTCTGCTAGAGCCTGCAAACTACCGCATGCTTGCTGTGAGCGACATTATGTACAGGACCTACGCAATGCTAGCACTAACGTGGCCAAGTGGTCGGCCAGCCTGCCGTACTGCCACATTTGCTCTGCCGTTTGGTTTCAGCTGGTTCCCCCCAGCTCTGCTGACCTCCTGCTCCAAGCTCTGCTCTGACTCTGCCGGGACTTGAACCCGCGCCGCTGCTGTCCTCCACGGCTGACATTTTTGTTGAGATATAAGGGAAGGCTGGCCGACCACTTGGCCATACTAGCGCTGGCATGGCCAAGTGGTCCGCCAGCCTTCCCTTATACCTCAACACGCAAATGTGCTTCAAGATGTTGTTACAAGGTGGTGCAGAGAGAACAACAAAATTCCAGATACACAAGATGGTTTTTATCCAGGCCGTAACACCCTGCAGCCAATATTTATTTTGCGTCATCTGCAGCATGCGGCACAGATTAAGCGTCCTCATTCCTCACCGAGGTTGTATGCAGCCTACATTGATTTCAAGCAAGCTTATGATACAATACCCAGGGATATTCTTTGGACTCATCTTCGATGCGTTTGCATGCCATCTTGCTTGCTGGCTATCCTGAAAAACATTTATGGCAATGATGAGTACATCTTGATGGATGGGTGTAAGCGAGCACATGTGCATCCTAGATTAGGGGCCAAGCAAGGCTGCCCACTAACGCCCCTGCTTTTCTCTCTGTTTATCAATGATGTTGACTGCCTGGCAGAGAATGTTGGCGGTGCAGTTACTGGTGCTGGGGATTTTCATGTGACTCATATGTTGTATACGGATGGCCTTTGCCTCACTGCCAATCATCCCACTGAGCTTCAGCGCATGTTGGATAGGTTACATGGGTATGCGCAGAGGAAAGAATTAATTATCAACGTGTCGAAGTCTGAGGTTGTGCCTTTTAAACCAAAAGGAAATAATGTTCCTGTTTTCAACTGAGGTTGCGAATAGCTCATGCGTGCTGAGTTATTCAAGTAATTGGTTACGCTGTTTACGAAACAATTTAACCCCCTTGCCTCTTCTGATCATATGTGTGCACCTTTCTTGGCTGGATGTCACCGCATAAGGCACGTTGCAGATGAATATAAGCTGGCAGAAAGGCCTCATACCATGCTTTGGCTGACTAAGACTTACGCTCTCCCTGCTAGCATGTATGCTAGTCAAATTTGGGGTTCCAGGTTTATGAGACCGGGAGATGAAATGACCTGCCCGTTGCAGACTGTGCACCTGTGTTTGCTAAAGCGAATTCTAAGAGTGAAAAAGACTACCTCAAATTGGTCTGTGCTGCGAGAATGTGGGTTTGAACCATTGCAATTCTATCGGTTTCGAGCTGCTGTCAGGTTTTATAATGCCTCCCGTGCCTGCAACAGCACTACTTCACGTAGGGAGCTTGGAGCGGATGTTGACATGAGTAGTAACTCTGAAGCACCTTTTCAAGTGCTTGGCATCAGACTTCATATCTGCTTTTCGGGGATTGGACAGATGCAACTATTTCACACATCGCGTGTACTCGGGCCAGCCCATTAGGATAAATGATTTTGTGGGTGATTTACGGAAAAAGCATAGAAGCGTGTGGCCAACTGAGGATCAGGGTCAACATGGTGTTCATTTAAACAAATTAGCCAAGTACCTTAACTGGATAGCGCTTTCCTTCCGGCATAATTCTGCTTTTGGTAAGCCTCTCCATACTCCTAGGTATCTGCATTTGGATTCAAGTAGGCATATGCAGAGAAACGTTGCTTCCTTCCGATTGCATACTCCTAGGTATCTGCATTTGGATTCAAGTAGGCATACGCAGAGAAACGTTGCTTCCTTCCGATTGCACGCCCACAAACTTCGAGTTGAAACTTTTCATTGGTATGGATATGCTCCTCAATGTGATTTATGTGTTTCAGAGCAATGGCAGGATGAAAAGCACGCCATCTTTCTCTGCCCTTGCAACTACCTATGTTGTCTTAAAAGAAAGTATGCACATCTTTTTACTGCCTTTCCTGCTCACAGGGTAGTGTCAGATGATACAGGATCTTTCTTTTCTTTTTTTTTCTGATGCTTGCTCTCGGGATGTAGCTCGTTTTTTAAACCAAGATACTCAGACTTATCGCTTCATCTCTGAGCTTATGGATTTCTTTCAGCACACCGAGCAGCCTAACTATTTGGCTGAAGGTTATGTTCCCTTGTTAACCTTGTAAACCTACCATCTATTCAACCGATCGTTCCCCGCAGCAGGGCCACTGGTTTTCAATCATTTCCTTTTACTGCAAGGATGCACATGCAAAAAGCAAGCAAATTTGAGACTCAGCTGACCTTCCTCCCCTTCCCGGGGATTTTTTTTGTCAAGAAGCCAAATAGCCAAAATACCTGGCTGGAGGTCAATTCCCAGTGTTTTGTACTGTAAAACAGTGTAATGTGTTATGGATCTTGCAGGGATCCCTTCTCTGTGCGCGCTGCCTTTTGGCTGGAGCTGCCTTCCTCTCTCTCCTCTCTCTTCACTCCTCTCTCGCCTCTCGCCCCTCATCTCTCTCCCCAACTTTTTACACATTTATGTAACGTGGCAATACATGCTGCCATGCTGCCTGTCCTTCTCCTCATATCAGATTCTCGTGCAAATTTTGCGCAATTCTGCGCTTGGCAGTGCTTTCCTTCTACTTGTCCCTCTCAAAACCCCCTCTAGCTGCAAAACACACACTGTGGCATCACAAACTTTTTTCACCTTTTTGCACACAATGTACCACATTTAAAAGTATCGTGAATGCCATGTAAGTTGTGAACAAATTCCTTACAATTCAGGTGCATGTTTGTGACTGCATGCATGGATGTGTATGAATGCGCCCAGTGTCTCTGATTTCCAATTCTACGGCCAGGTACCAAGCCCTGTGGCTATGCGCGGGTGCAGGCCTCAGCAATTTTGCTCTGCTGCTCCTGCAACAAAAACCAAAAACCAAAACCACCAAGCCAGAGCATCAGGTTTGAGCCTGGAGTGCAAGTTCGCCTAGCTACATGGTTCAGCCGTGTCGTTTTCTGGCTCCTAGGCTAGCTGTTTCTAGTGTAGGTTTAGAAGGCCCTCTGGTGAGGCCTTTGACTTTCCGTCAGGGGTTCTTCCCAGGTTCTCCCTTGATGCACGCGGCCTTTGGCTTGCGTTGACTTTTCTTTTCTTTTAGCTGTGCTGCTGTTGTGACTTCTGCTGACTGTTGTGTATTTCCCTAATGCACACTGGTTGCGTCCTGCGCAGATTTTTACTTGACTTCTGCTCCTTGATTGCCAGACGCAGGGGATGCAACTTGAAGGGCAGTGGCACAGCACAAAGCTCACCATCTGGACCTGCTGCACCTGTGCGTGCATTCACTTCATATCCGGTACAATGAATGTATAAAATCTGTGGACTACTTCCCACGCCAATCGCTGAGCGTTCCATTCTGAAACCCTTGAAGGTGTAGTCTACATTGGTTACCACACAATCCAGAATTTCTGAAGATGCCGAGGAGCTCAAATGCTCAGTACGCAACAAACAGGCTGCAAATGATGATTGCTGGCAATCTGCCAGGTTTCTTACTTTGTTTTGTAAATTAGACGTAACTTCAATCGTCGTGAATAAGACTGGACACAGCATTTGACTGTTCAGGTCAAGTAGAATTGCTAACGAGGAAAGCTACATCAGGTAATGTTGTACAAGTCAAGAGGATCCAGCGTGTGCATAGACAGGCACAACCTGTGGAGCTGC